TCCCTTGACCCACATGTAATAACTAAAGCTAGAAAACTCTTAGAAGAAAACATGAATACATCTTCATAAGCTTAGATTAGGCAAAACCTTCTCAGGTATAACCAAATGCCTAAATGACAAAGGAAAAATAGATGTATTGGACTCATGAAAATTAAAAACTTATGTGCCCAAAAGGACACAATCAAGAACATGGAGAAGGAAAGAAGGAATGAAGGAAGGAAGGAAGGAAGGAAGGAAGGAAGGAAGGAAGGAAGGAAGGAAGGAAGGAAGGAAAGAAGGAAGAAAGAAAGGAAGGCAGAAAGAAAGAAAGAAAGAAAGAAAGAAAGAAAGAAAGAAAGAAAGAAAGAAAGAAAGAAAAGGCAGATCACAAAATGAGATAAAATATTTGCAAACCCTGTACCTGATAAGGAATTTATAACAAAGTATATAAAGACCTCTTATAGCTCAATAATAAAGACAAATAACTCAATTTAAAAATGGGCAGAAGATCTGAATAAATGTTTCTCCAAAAATATACAAATGAGCAATAAGCACATAAAAAGATACTGTGTCATTAGTCACCAGGGAAATGCAAATCCAAACCACAATGAAGTTAGTACTTAATACCCCCACTGGACTGAAACCAAAAAGACAGACAACAACAAAGGTTGACAAGGATGTGAAAGAATTGGTTCCCTTATACACTGCTGACAGGAATATTTCAAAATGGTGCAGGCATTTTGGTAAACAGTTTGATAGCTCTTCAAAATTTTAAAGTTACTATGTGACCTGGCAATTCTACTCCTAGTTATATACCCAAGAAAAATTAAAATATAAGTTCTCACTAAGACTTATACACAAATGTTCATAGGTGCATTATTCAAAATAACCCAAAATTGGAAGCCACCCAGATATCCGTCAACTGTTAAGTGAATAAACAAAAGATGATCTAGTCTATCCATACACTGGACTATTGTTCTGCAATAAAAGAAATGAAGTACTGATACATGCTATAGCATGGATAAGCCATGAAAAAATTTGCTAAGTAAAAGATGTTAGTCACAAAAGGACACATATTGTATGATTCCATTTATACAAAACGTCCAGAATAGGCAACTTTCTAGACACAGAAAGTAGATTAGTAGTTCCCTAGGGAAAGTTTGGTGGGGAAGGGTTGGGAGAAAATGAGAAGTGACTACTAATGGTATAGATTTCTTTCTGGGGTGTCCTAAAATTGATGGTGGTGATGGTTGCACAATTTTGTACACACTCAAAGCTACTCAATTTTATACTTTCAATGATAAATTGTATGGTATGTAAATTATATATCAATAAAGCTATTTAAAAAAACTCTACATTGGGATACCACATGTGACTTATCAGACTGGCAAGAGCTCAACATTTTGGCAAAACACTCTATTGACTAAGCTGTGAAAAACAAGGCATTCACATGCTGTTAGTGGCTGTGTAACACTGGTTCATCCCCTACAGAGGGGAATTTGGGATTATCTATTGATACAGATGCATTTATTCTTTGACCCAGAAATCTCACATCTGGAAATTAATCCTGGTAATACATCTGTGCAAGTTTATTTGCTGTGGGATTTTATTGCACAGCAAATTACCATCAGAAAAGTACAGTCAAATAAAACTTCATCCAAGCAATGAAATAATATACAGGCACAAAAAAGAAGAATTAAAAAAAAAAAAATGTTTTGGAGTGACCTCTGAGATTTCCAGATAAAAAGCAAAGTGAAGAAGTTTTGGCCCCCTCCCTCCCCTATCTTGAGGAGGTGAATCTTCTCTCTCTTCAATCTACTTTCTAAATAAACTTTATTTTCCAATCAAAAAAAAAAAAAAAAAGCAAAGTGAAGACAGTGTAAGGAAGATGGAGAAATAAGAATGCATATACACACATACAAACAAACAAACACACCATGTACATGTACCTCTATACACACACCTAATTTTACCAAAAGAAACACTGGGAAGATAAGCCAGAAACTAAGAAAAATGATTCTCAAAGATAGCAAGAGGTTGAACAGTATGGAGAGAGTTGTGATAAAAGCGAAACTTCTGAGTATACCTCTTTACATAATTTTCACATTTAAGCCATGTAAATGCTTTACAAAATTAAATAAAATTGCATTGGAAAGGAAAAGAAGCTCTGTATCCTAAAATTGAAAATAAACTGAATCAAATGAACCCAACTATGAGGTTTCCAAGAAAATGTATATACATTTTTAAAACGAAAAAGATGATATTATAATTGTAATACTCATATATACTGATAACAAAAGATGAATACAAGTTACATTTGACTTCTGCAATTACAAGAGGTGCTCAAAGGGGTTATCCTCAGTGTCCAGACACTTTTGATTACGGTGAACTAAAAGCGATACATAGGGTAACATTGCTTAAAATGTATATACATTTTGTTGACACTCCTGGTATATACCAATTGGGAAGATAACCAGTCTTTACTTGGATTGCATATATTTAGATATAAGAATGATAAGGAATCCAAGGACATCTTAAACATTACTCAGTGGTTTCACTGATGTTGTGACATTGTATTTATATTGGCACATAAAATATATATATTATGTTGTGGAGGAAAACTAATGAATAAACATGCGTACTTTCAGGAAGTAAGATTTTCAATGTCAGACAATGAAGATGCAAATATGAAATCAAAGTACTCAAGAAAAAATATTATGATGCTAAAATTAAACTCAAAATATCAATATAAATCCATTGCATCTCTCAGTCAGTCTTTCAATCATCCATTCCTTTATTTACTTCCTTGCTTTACAAATCATGATGCCCTAGATGCAAAGAACTTACTTAGTATCCAGATCTAGGTTTCTCAATACCATTCTTCCCTTAAATGAATCAATGCTCCTTGGAGAAATGGTTATTTCCACACTAGGACATCATCTCCAAAAAAGGTTCAGACAGTCCAAAGAATAGAAAGTCACGATATACATTGGCATAGAGTACAGAAAATTATGCAAAGCCTTCCGACTTGTTTTAGGAGGCTACCATAAACCTGACACCAAACTGAACAAAGTTATCATTATACAGTTATATATTATACACTTTGACATAAGCACATATACTTTATAGGTATAATGAAATGAGCCAACAAATAATGTCCTATGCCTGGGGTAAACTGTGCCTAGAAAACTAGCTATTGCTTTTTCTTCCCTTATAAACATGGCTGCAAATATTCTTTGCTTTGTCCTTTAGTGGTCCATGGTGAGAGAATTATCTTTGAAGGATGGCTAATCATCCTTATAACATTTATGAATTAACTGTTGTTGCTAGAGTTGAAATGTATTCTTTTTCTTGAAGTTCTAGATAGATGAACTGTAAGCACAAAATAAGTTACTTCTCTTTAGTACGTTATCAGATAAGTGAGACAGGACAGTATTTGGTGAGGACTCAGTAAACACTATCTGCTTTAACTATACTTTAATGAGTAAAGTACCTTGCAGTGACTTTTACATCCATAAATTTAGAAATACATCCTAATTAGTAGATCGCAACAATGTGAATATACTTAATGCCACCAAGCTTTACACTTTAAAATGGTTAAAATGGTATATTTTGATATGTATATTTTACCACAATAAAAAAGTTTAAAATCATACTTGTTAGAATTTATAATAAATACTTATTACTTACTGATATTCTGATTGACTTATTGAAGTAGGTCACCAGAAATTCCAGATCAAGCCCAAATTATAAGCCAGTAATGAGGTATGGAGCTGTGTTTAATGTTTATTTAATAAGTATTCTAGTTACAAATTCAAATTCACCTCTTCTACAACCTAGGGTTTCAAAATTATTGGATAGTATTTTTCTACTTCATTTCTCACATTTAGGTCACCAGACAAAGGTTTACTGGGCAGATAGGAATGAAAAGAACAAATACAGGCTTTTTACTACCACAGAGCTCCCGAATAGGATTTTAAAAATAGTGGAGTCTGTGTTTGAAATATTTATTCATAAGATGCTAACATATCCTATGAAAGACCATTATTTAAAAGTTAACATCTTCAAAGTTACAATCAGGATAGTTACCAAGGTAGAACTTCTTCCCAGATTAGGTTGTGAATGGCCTGAAATCCTGCAGTCACCAGGATCTGTGCTAGAGTCTGTATTTAGACAGTTATCCTGAGGACTGTAATATTACTAGCTGTGGGCAGGTGAACAAGCCTGTAGATTAATGGAGTGGAGAAGCGGATATGATATTTAAGGAAAAAAAAAACTTGCTGAGAGTTTCTGGGAGCTTTTACAGTATGAGTGATCTCTCTCTCTCTTGCCCTGTAACTGGAAGGAATGGCAATCAGAGGGGATTAATAGAAGAGTTAATAGCAAAGTCCCTGGATTATAAGATCATGTTTCCTATTTCAACAATTAAAGAGCTTTAAAGAATAACAAGGAAAATAAAATATAAAGCTTTATAAAATTTCCTGTGGCTAAAGACATAGCATCTACCAAGTAGACTGGTTTATGTCTAGTCTAGATTATCTCTGGAAGATAAATAAATGAAGTTGAGGTTATGTTTTTCTGTCATTGATATAGTTTGCTAATAATTTTCCATCTATTAGCAGTAATTTTAACTTTATCACAATTAAAAAAATACTCATTATATCATACTCCTTCCCTTTCTGCTTATAAACATTTCAGATGACAGATTTTTTTTAAATGCCCTTTTTAATGAAACTAAAACTTATTTCCAGAATTTTAAATATGTTATTTGAATTATTGCAAGTTATAGTTTCATAAAAAGGCATAGAATCAAATATGGTTTCATAGGAAGGCAGAGTTGCCTTCCTCGAAGTCGCAAAAAAAAAAAAAAGAAGGCTAAATGCCCAATAACAAGATGAAACTTCTCCAAAATAATCGGGTTGATTTTTCTGATGGAAATATGCTTTAACATTCCAGTAATTTCAGACAGTAAAGAGAAAAGGGGACATGGTGACATTAACAGCAAAAACTCACTAACTTACTGAAAACAATTTGGCCCAAATACAGTGGCGAGATTGTGAACATTCATGCGATTCTGCACATGGTGCTTGGCTACTTTTGTCAAGAACCGGCAAAGGTACTTGAGGAGGCAGTAGTGGGTGTCTGGAAGCTCTTTAATTAAGTCTCTTAAGCTACTTTCCTGGGCATCGTTTCTGCCATCTGGGGAAAAAAAAGAAAAAAAGAAAGAAAGGTTCTCAGACATATTTCATACTAACAACAACAAAATTGTCACAAATTCTAACATTTTATTCAGAAAAAAATTTCTTAGAGACTGAGACAGGCCTTGAGCATTTGATTTTTTTAATGTTAAAAAATTACTAATTTACTCAAGGAATCTGGAAAACCACAAGCTTTATTCAGTGTATAAAATAGGTTTGTGTTTCAATTTTATGTTTTCTTCCTCAAAATTAAGATAATGGTTAGGTTTTAAATACACAGTAGAATCTTCCATTTGATTTTTGTCTTCAAGTCTGTCAAGAACAAGATTCTCTTGGTTCAATAAAATTTGGTATGAAAGACCTTCCAGGGTCACCCTGAAGAACGCTAAACTTAGTGATCCAGGTACTGTGCACAGATAAAATTGAAGGAAACTTTTAATTTCTATGTAGTTTTTTTACTCTGGATAAAGATTCTCTCCTTGACCAAACTCAACCTAGGATCCTCTAAGCTTTTGTTTTCAACTAAGCCCTGTCTTGGGCATGTCCTCAAGGACCCACTCTTAGTAAGAATACTGCCAAGTCAGTTAAGCCAAAGATTCCACCCTTGATATCAGACCACCCTCGATATCTGACCAAATTCCTCATTTTCCACCATCCCCCAGGTGATGCCTTTAGCAAAAATCCTGTGTCAGGTCAGTTTAGCCACAAATCCACCCCCACCTTTTCCCTGATACTTCCTCTTAGAAATTTTCCATCCACTAATTGCCTTCCACCCTAATCCTACTACTTGGCTATAAAATTCTCACTTTTCCTTGTTGTTTTCCAAGTTGAGCCCAATCTCTTCCCACTACTGTAAAACTCCAATGCAGTAGTTCCTGTACATATCACAACGGTCCCGAATAAAGACTGCCCTACCTTTAACAAGTGTCAAAATAAATAACTTTAACAATATGGAACACATCATATAGTTCAAAATGTGATATGTGACTCTCATAAAAAAAAGCCCAACAACCTTGCACAGAGCCTAAAATGTCTAACGATGCGCCAAAATTCATAGGCATACATATGGAAAGTTCCTCTCAGTTCTCAAGGATTTGTTTTGCCAATACTTAAATACAGTGACATTGCTAATTTATGTAACTTTGTATATTGTTTCCTATCAGAGGAAAATGTAAATCATCTATAACAAATACAGTAGTTTAGGGGAATAATCACAATCCATTCCTTTAACAGACATCTAAGAGAATAAAAATGTATCCAGGTGTAAGTAAGATACAGCTTGGATTCCTTACATAAGTCAGCTTCAGTCAGTCAAAGTGAATAAGAAACAGAAAAGTGAGGTAAATAAGATACAAGGGAAGAGGACTTATCAATGTCATAAAACACCTGGATAACATAAGGCCATGGACTGGAAGTGAAGACACAAAGTGTCACACACAGCAACATTGAGTGGCTTCAACATACAGGAACAGAATGAAAGCCCAGGTGTCATTTCCTGGGTGAGTATACTGGTTCTTCTCCTTACTACCTATGTGACCTAAGTGATGCTGCTTATGATGACATTATCTCCCACTGCACTATGACCTTAAGTAATAGGGATATGTGAGAAACAAAAGTCATTAAGTTGTAGTGATTACAAACTAATTGAAGATCCCCATTTTTCATGCCTTTATATTATACGAATAAACAAATATGAACCAAGAGAAGACGTAATCCTATTTTGCCCTTTTTCTTTTTTTATGATGACTAATTCAAAGTGAGTCTAGATGTTTTGATGGGTGTGTGCTCTCTGTTTAAAACTGTGGTCTAATTCTCAGCATTTAAAGATACAAGCAACAGCATTCCAACAGCCTTGATAATGGACCTCTGGCCTTTTGACGCTGAAATGAAACCTCAGACCATGAGGCGGGCAGTGTGTGAAGACACCAGATCAAATAAAACAAATATTCAAAACAATTATGAATTTATGACAATAACATATTTGAAAAAGAAGCAGCACTTTCATAATTACTTACAATTGTGAAATACAACAAACTATTTTTTAGGAAATAAAATAGACAAATAATGGAAAGGGAGACAGATATATTCAGAGTTTTATGCTTAACAAAAATCATAAAATCCATTATGGTATGAATGAAAAAAAATCACTAAATATGTTCTCAAAAAGCAAAAGTAATTGAGAAAGAAATATCTTCTATATATCTCCTTCCACCCCAAAACATTTCCATTTTCTGTGATGGAAGATGGATTCATGGATTTGCTCACTGAGCAAGGATGAGTGTCCTCTACATCAGGGGCTTTGACAGAGGCACACTCACATTTGAACCTTAAATCTGTATAATTCACCCACTGAATACTTGTTCAAATATACTGACAGTAAAGAATGTAACTTATTAGCATGACATTTTTCTCACCTCTTTTCATACTGATTAATTATGTACTAACATACTGAGTGTCTGTTAATTTATACTGCATTCCCAGAAATATGTGGTAAATATCACCATTACTGCCAGGCGGCAGCAATCAACAAACAAGATTTCCTACAAGTGAGAATAATTGCTCAACACCTTCAGAGATGGCTGGCAGAAGAATGCTTAGGACAGCACATGTAGGGGGAGCGCTGATACAAATATTCCTATTAAGAAGATGCCTTCTGATGCTTGCGAGAAACAAAGTTTATAATAATCATTTCATTACTGCTTGCATTATTTTCTGCTTTGTTGATCTCTATATACAATAAACACTGCCTTATTCATTCAAGTTTTGTGTTTATATTGTTAATTATGATAGCTCCCTCAAGGTCTTCCATTATACAAAAGAGCAATGCTTCTATTTTTCTATGTGTTTACCCAAATGTACACGTATTGCACATGACGTGTGATGTTTATCACACACTTTCTATGTGCCTGACATTCTTTAACACCAGGGATTCAGCATGAAGCAAAGCAAAATCCATGCTTTTATGAAATATTCTAATCGAGGGGATGACACAATAATCAAATTGTAAAATCCAGTATGTACAAAGTGGTAACACAAGAGCTATGAAGGAATAAAAAGTGGCCTAAGGTGCAGTAAAGTACAGTGATGCAGGGGGAAGAGATGTTATTTAATTCAAAATGGTCAGGGAGGCCCCTTTGATATTGCCACATGTGAGCAGAGCTGAAGAAAATGGGGATGTGTGTTTCAGGCAGAGGAAACAGCAAGCACCAAGGCCCTGGGGTGGAGGTCGTGGGCCTGGGGCCAAGTGGCGGAGGGTGGGGAAGGTCCTTGGGAAGAACTCAGGAGACAGCACAGGGAGGGAAAGGACAGAGCATTAGTCTTACTAAGTTTTATTATAAGCCATGGTCTCCCCTCCCCCAGCCCCCCAAGTGAGAGTTTTGAGCTGTGGGGAGACATGACCTGTCTTGAGAACCATCTGGGTGCTGTGCTGATTCGAGACTGTAGGGGAACAGTTGGAAGCAGGAGGACTAGTGAAGTAACAGGCTAGTTACATCTAGTTACATCTACTTATTGCAACAGCCTAGAAGAAAAAGGGCTGGTGGTCTGGACCAGGTTGATGCCGGTGGGATGTAAGACATGGGTGGATTCTGAATACAGTTTGAATGCATCTGGCTGGTTTTACATATGAAAGTTGTGTGTTTTATTCATTCATGCATTTAGCAAATCTTTAATAAGTGACTACATTGTGTCAGGCACTGTTCTAAGCATGTAGGATACATCCAGAAACAAGATAAACAGACATGCCTCTTCTCATGGAGGTTACATTCTAACTCGTGAGATATTAAGCAATAAATATAGTGAAATGACTGGGCGACTGGAGAGCACCTTGGACCGGGGAGAGGGCTGGTGACTGCAATTCTAAATAAAATTGTCAGGAATGCCTCATGAAATGTATTTGATGTCTGTAGTTAAAGTAAAAAATCCACAAGCTGGCACATGTTAGCCCTTTCAGAGCTGAAGGTTACGTTTTAATCATCTTTTAAATTCCCTCAGGCTGGGTGCAGAGGTTCATGCCTGTAATCTCAGCACGTTAGGAGTCAGCTGAAGAGGGAGGATTGCTTGAGGCCAGGAGTTTAAGACCAGCTTGGGCAACACAGCAAGAGTTCCCCTCTCTAGTTAAAAAAAAAAAAAAAACAAATAAAAATAAATCTCCTCAATGCCTTACGTATAAAAAGTGATCAAGAAATTGTTTTAATAGAATGATACACATTTTAAGACCCACAGTAAGACAGACATTCATAGGAATAAAGTGACATCTATACTTCAAATGTACTTTTTAAAAATGTGAAAAAAATTTAATCCATTTACAGAATTCACTGAGTTGGAGTATCACTGTTATGCAGGAATCAGATTATAGACAGTATTTAAAGAAAATACCCATTAAATTACCAACATAATTCTTCTCAGACCTGGAAATGACAATACAGAAATTCATATGGAAACATAAACGACCACGAATAGCCAAAACAATCCTTAGCAAAAGAAACAAAGCAGGAGGTAACACACTTCCAGACTTCAAACTTTACTATAAGGCTACAGTAATCAAAACAGCCTGGTATTGGTACAAAAACAGGTATATAGATTAACGGAACAGGATAGAGATTCTGGAAGCAAAGCCTCAATATCTCAACCAACTCATCTTTGACAAAGTCTCCAACAACAACCACTGGGGAGAGGAGAACCTATTCAGTAAATGGTGCTGGAAAAACTGGCTGATCACATGCAGAAGATTGAAACAGGACCCCTATGTATCAACATACACAAAAATTAACTCTAAATGGATCAAAGACCTAAATGTAAAACCTCAAACTATAAGAATCTTAGAAAATGCAGGAGACACTCTTATGGAAATTGGAACTGGCAACCAATTCCTGATCAAAACCCTAAGTGCCCATATCATAAGAAATAAGACAAACAAATGGGACCTCTTCAAATTAAAGAGCTTCTGCAAAGCAAAAGAAAGCATCAAGAGAGTGGGAGACAGCACACAGAATGGTAAAA